ACTCCAAGATATCATAGGTATAGTTATTGACGATTTCAATGTTTTCATTGCTAACCATAAAATTGTGTTTATCTATTGCTGATTTTCTACTTTTCTTCTGAAATACAATAACTTTGGTTTTAGTTGGATTAATCTTAAGAAGCCAATCCTGACAATATTTTGATAGTCTGTCAAGACTTTGTTGCAAACCTTCTGCCGAGGCAGATATTAAAAGTAAGTCATCGGCATAAAGTAGACAGTTTAAGTGAGAACCATCTGGTAGTAAGATAGAATCTTTAGCAGTGTTATTTAGAATGAAGGGTAGTTCGTTTAGATAAAGGTTAAGTAGAAGCGGCGACAGAATACAATCTTGTCGTACACCTTAATCATAGTTGAAAAATTCTGATCGAGTATAATTGTCTTTCACACAACATAGTGAATTTGAATACATGCTGGAAATTATTTTGTAAAAGGAGCCACCTATGTTATATTTCAACACAAGGGAGACAGGGGACATAGGAGGACATAAGGGGCCCGAAGGACAAGGGGGCACAAAGGTTCAGAGGGGACACAACAGTACCAAGGGGACAGAGGGCAAACAAGGGGACACAAAGGACACCGGGGACACAAGGCAAACAGGGGACAGAGGAGACTCAAAGGGACACGGGGACACAAGGGACACAGAGGTCACAAAGGACCCAAGGGGACACAGGGGACCACAAAAACACAAGGGACACAAGGGACACAGGGAACTTAAGGAGACACAGGAGAAGCAAGGGACACAGCGGACACAGGGGACAAAGGGCACACAAGGGACACAATGGGAGACATCGGACACCAGGGACACAAGGAGACAAAAGGGACACAGAGGACACAATGGCTACAGGAGACACAGGGGACACAAGGGACACAAGGGGACACAACAGGACACATGGGACACAAGGGGCATAAGGGACAGAGAGGTCACAAGGGATCCACAGGGACACAAGGGACACAAGAGACACACGGGATACATAAGACACAGGTGACACAAGGGACAAAGGAAAACACAGAAGACACAAAAAACACAGTGGACACAGGAAACTTTAGGAGACACAGGGGAAGCAAGAGACACAGCGGGCACAGAGGTGACAAGGGACACAAGGGAAAAATGGGACACATAGGACACAAGGGGACAAAAGGGACACAATGGGACACAGAGGACAAAATGGATACAGGAGACATAGGGCACACAATCGACTTAAGGGACACAATGGGACACATTAGACACAAGGGGCACAAAGGGACACAAGGGGACACAACAGACAAAGCGGACCCAAGGGACACAAGAGACACAAAAGGACACAAGGTACGCAGAGGACACAGGGAACCCAAAAGACACAAGGGACACAGCAAGCACAATGGATCCGAGGGGACACAAGAGGCACACGGGATACATGGGACACAAGGGACACAGGAAAACACAAGAGACACAAGGGACACAGGGCACACAGGGAACTTAAGGAGACACAGGGGAAGCAAGGGATACAGTGGACACGTGTGGACAGAACGGACAAAGGGGACACAATGGGGCACATAGGACACAAGGGACAAAAGGGACACAAGGGGACAGAAGTCACGATGGATACAGGAGACACAGGAGACCCAAGGGACACAGGAAACACAAGAGACACAGGGGTCACAAGGGGACACATGGGTGACAAGGGGCAGAAAGGGACAAAAGGGACGCAAGAAGACACAACGGACACAGGGGACTCCAGGGACCAAAAGGACACAGGGGGCAAAAGGGACACAGGAGACAGAGGGACAAAATTGAAGACAAGGGACATAGCCCACTCAGTGGACGCAAAGGGACACAGGGGACACAAGGGGCAAAGGAACTTCCAAGGGACACAAGGGATACAGACGAAAACAAGGGACACAAAGGAAAACAAAGGACAATGGGGACAAAAGGGGCACAGAGGACACGGGGGCACAAAGGGATGCCAGGAACATATGGAAAACAAGGGGACAGAGGGGACACAAGGGACATAGGGGACAAAACAGGCAGAAGGGACATAGGGGACACAGATAACACAGGGGACACAAGGGACACAGGTGACAAAGGGGTAACAAGGGACAAAAGGGGACACAAAAGACACAGGGGACACAAAGCACACAAGAGGAAACATGGGACACAGGGGACACAAAGGGAGACAGGGACATAATTGAAGACCAGGGACACAGAGGACACAGGGGACACGTGAGACAAAGGGGACACAACGGACACAGGGGACACAATAGACAAAAGGGACACAGGGAACCCAAGGAGATACAGGAGTCACAAGTTACACAGTGGACACAAGGGACACAGCAGACACAAAGGACATAGGAGACACAGCAGCACAAGGGACACAGAGGTCACAGGGACACAGGGGACACAAGGGACACAGGCAAACAAAATGGAGGCAGGGGACTTATGGAACACAAGGGAGACAGGGAAGACAGGAGACATAATCAACTCAAGGGGACACATGGGACACAAGGGGACACCAGGAATGCAGGGGTCACAAGGGACACAGGGGACTCTAGGGACTCAGGGGACACAAGGAGACACAAGCAACACAAGGGACACAAAGGGACAAAGGGTACACAAGGGATACAAGGGAGACAGGAGACTCAGTGCACACAAGGGACACAGGGGACACAAGGTGCGCAGTTGACACAGGCGACATACGGGACACAACCAACACAAGGCACACACGGGTCGCAATGGACATAAGTTGACCCAAGGCACACACGGGACACAGAAGACACAAGGGTCACATGGGACACAAGTAACAAAGGTGACCCAGAGGACACGATGGACATAGGGGACACAGGAGAGAGAAGGCACCAAAGGGACACAGGGATCTCTTGGGGACACAAGGGACACAAGAGGACAAAAGGGGCACAAGGGGACACAAGGGATACAAGAGACACAAGGGGACACAGGAGACTCTGGGCACACAGGGGACAGAAAGGACACAGGGGACACAAGGGAGACAGGAGACAAAGGGGACACATGGGACAAAGGTGACACGAGGGACACAGGAGACAAAAGGGACACAACGGGACACAGGGCACTCATTGCACAGAAGGAACACAACGGACCCAGAGACAGAGGAGATGCAAGGGACACGGGACACAAGGGAGACAAGGGACACAAGGCACACAAGAGGACACAGGGGACACAGGGGACACAGGCGACATAATTGAAGACCAGGGACACTAGGAACACAGGGAACTCAAAGAGTATCAGGAAGTCACCGAAAAACCGACACAATATTCATTACTCCGGCAGCTCCCGAGAAAAACATTTGATAGGTAATATTGCCATGGTCATAGTCAAGTTTCGTCCTAGCTGTACGTCCTCCACTCCCTGTCGCGCCCCACCATGACTTCTGGCCGTCTAGGGTAAATGTATAGCCGCAGCCGTCGAGGAACACACAGTAGCGAAGTACGGCGTGATTCTTTAAACAAATTCAGACCAATTTTTGGGGGGAATTGGTATTGTTTAATTGAAAACATATTTTTGTATATTAAATGTAAAGAACGCCCAATTGATTGCGCAAGCGCACTAATGTTTGTCTTATCCATTCTAAAGCTGTCCAGGAATGCTATTGAATTGCAAACAGTGTCATAAAAATGTTAATGAATAGCGTTTGCACTTAAATGTTTGTCTATTTTCACTAATGATTTTCAAGATAATGTTAATGATTTGAATGTTGATGTTAATAAAAGTATATTTTTCTCTTTTGTATGTCGAATGACGCAAATGAATACCCAAAAATGTTATTGAATGTTGATTAAAATGCAAAAATCGTAATTGAATCTGATTTACGCGCAAATGTTCGCTTTTTCGCGCTAATGAATGTATCTTCGCGCTATTGGTCGCCGTTTCACGCAAATGATTGCGTATTTCCTCGTAATGAACAGCAAAAGGTGTAAATAAAGAACCGTGGAGAAGTAGGTTTTTAGAGAGGAGAAAGGAAGAAGTACAGAACTGTTGAAGATCAATGAAGGTTAACTTAGAAGTTAAAAGAAGAATAATATTGTGAAGAGAGTAAGTCTCCTTATAATACAAGACTTTAATCGTAAGACGTATTGGGCTGTGAGAGTCACTCTCTCATCAAGAGGATTTAGTTCCCGTACCAGTTTTATGTAAAGACTTGATCGTATCAAAAGCATTTCAGAAAGTACTGGGGTGGAATGGTATTATCTCTTACTTAACCAAACAAATCAGATAAACATAGTACTAATATTTATTGGACCCGTCAACAGTTCAACTTACATAAAATAGCTGTAGTTTTTAAAAAATGTCATGTCAATCATTTCACTCGTACAATTGTTAAAACAGTATTTACAACAATAGAATCTTAATTAGAAAATGTAGGTATCCGGGTGCCTCTATTGCAATGAGATTTTCTTAACTGTGTACAGTCATCTCTTATTTAACGGTCACACCTCTATAAGAAGGTCACCTCTTTAAAACGGACACCTAGAGGTCGTCCCTGCCATTCTTCATCCTTTTTATAGACTACGAGTAGTCCCCCATTTTTCCTCAGAGACAGCAGAGCGTGCGAAACGCGAGCGCGCGTGAAAATCACCCCACGCTAGAAAAGGCGACACGCGGCGAGGAGAGAGAAAAATCCCCACCGCGTGTCGCCTTTTCTCGCGTGGGGTGATTTTCACGCACGCTCGCGTTTCGCTCGCTCTACTATCCCTGAGGAAAAATGGGGGACTACTCGTAGTCTATCCTTTTTATAATAGTTGACTCTCTATAAGACGGACATCTCTCTACTGCGTGTTATCAGCATTGTGCAAAAGCCAACATTCTAGGCTCTTCGGCCCGCATGACTTACAGTAATTTCTGCATAATTTCTGCAAAAAGACATTTCACTTTCCATTGACATTACAAAACAAACATCTGTCGGAGTATCTTTGCATTCTTGTCCAGCAAGGACACGGGTTGTGAGGGGGATGATTTTCACCCACAGATATCACGATCGTTCTGCCATGAACACTGACTGGCACCACTGTACAAACCACTCACACATATTGGAGATGATTTCATTGTTAACTTTGCCATTAACCTTTAGCTCATGATCAGCACCATCCACCCAATGCATAGTCCAGTCATTTGCCATTCTATTCAGAGTAGCATTCTCCATTAAATCTGCCCTACAAAATGGATCTTTTCTACCACTAATGAACAGCACAGGAACACCAAGATGGAGAAGGGGCGATACTCGAAGCTCTGAAGTTTTTCTTGGTGGATGAAGAGGGTATGACAAACAAGCTACACCATAAACAAAGTCTGTTGTAAGGCTGCTGTTTGATGCCACTTCTGCTGCAACCCGTGCACCCATTGAACGACCTTCAATGATAATGTTAGGACCATATTAATCAATGTAACAAATTTTTAGAAAGAACAGCTTTTGAAGGCATTATAGCGAAGCCCTCGCCCGCGAAGCGCGCGCGGCGGAACACCATGGGTAAGAAAATGTGGTAAACTAACCATCCGAGAAAATTTGGTAATCACGTGACCGTATACTGACCGACGGCCCGACTGTCCGTCCGCACCAGAAGCATACCAATGTAAAACAACTCAATCAACAGGTATGGCAACCCATATGCAAGTTGAGGTTATTTTGACGGGAAATCGCATAGCCACCCGCGTCTGGTAAAGCAGAGACAACAAAAGATTCAATGAAGACGAAAACGGAAAGCGGAAATTGTCCCTGCATCCGTATTTTCTAAAGTATTAAGCTTAGATTAATTGTCATGTCCGCAAATTTGGAATATAGAGCAAGAGAAACTCAGAGAAAAAGAGAAGGTAATTAATTCAACGTTTATTTACCATTGATTTATATACATAGTTAGCGATAGTTAGCGATATATCGCTATAGGTGAAGGAAACGGTAAATCCATTTACTATAAAATAACGATCGACTACACAAACAGATTGTGTGGCTCCCTGTGCTAGAATTCTTAATGAAGACCCTGCTTGGTCGTTGGGAAGTGAGCCTTTCTTCTTTTCTTTCTTTCTCTACGAACTACCCCAGCAAAGAACATGCCTTCCAAATCCAAAATTTTGGGGATAATAACTAAAATTTTAACTCAACTGTTAAGACCATAGACCACATTAAAAAACAACTTCACTTAACTTTAGGAGTGCAGGAGTTTACCCTAATCTGCAGAGCATGGTAAGTGCACGCAAAAGTTTTGCCACCAAATTGTCCTCACCAAATACTAGCATTGCACACAGCTTACCACCAATTCACAAAATGATGACACTTTGAAGCCAGGTTGTTCACAATAACTCAGTTTAGTTTGCACATGGTGTCCTTGGTGAAAAATAACTCTGCTTTGAGTTCTGTCGTGCTCTGTGATTTATCACTGGTATTTGTGAATACTATTTACAATCAGAATCATAATGAAAAGTACCTGCTATGACACACATCCTTACTGGAAATTTTTCATAATTTCTTAGGAATTCCTGCAGGTCAAAGAAAATAAAATATTTTTCCAATATTATGCCTTAAACATGGACCACAAAATGCAAGGGGATTATGGTTGCCAAGAATAGGTGGCCCAATACTGCTCCTCAGATACAAGACAGTAGTTTCTTTTAATCCTCAGTGATAGAAGAGTGAGCAAAAAAGATGAAAATTGTCTGAATGAATTTGCCCATAGTTTAGTTTACCTGCCAACCTTTTTAGAGTAATAAATATGAGATTCACTTCTGGAGCAATGCCATTGTTTTGTGAGAGACTGATCACATCAGACCCGTCTGAACAGCATAGCAGCTGCCGCGGCGCTGCAGCGAGTTCACTTTATGGTTGCCGCGCTTAAAGCGTCCTGGCGCTGGTGCTTCGTGGTCGCTAAAGCAGAGGCGATCACATTTAGGTACTGCGAAAAGCGCTGCAAAATTTTGCCACCGGTAAAGCAGGCGGTAAAACACGCTAACGCTGCTGCAATGAGACTTAGATATAAACATTGAAACCACTCCATATGACAACCTGAATACAAGAGACGCTTGAGGCTGCATTATCGCTGCACAACGCTGCAGATACCAAATAAGGACTTAAAGATCTTCAAAATTAAAACCCTGGAGAGCAACTCGAAGCAACAGGCGATTTCTAAAGGCCTAACGAATATTTCCAAAAACATTCCAAAGAGTTCTGAAATTCTAAGGAAAATGTTTTTGTTACATGTATCACAAGAATTTTATTTTTTAAAGGTAATCTGTAGAAATCTATAAGCTTTATTTTCACATGTGAGAAAAGCTTATACAGCCAATCAGAATGGTGTACAGCTGTTTTCACATGTGGAAGTATAACCAATCAATGACAGCGTAAATGCCTTTCTGAGCCAATTAGAGTTTTTCATTGTTTTCATTCAAATGGCTTTCCACATTTGGCGGCTTTTTAGCGGCACCTCCAAATTTTTCTTCAGAAAATGGTGGACACGAGGGAAAACTATAACAGGTTTGTGTCGGTTAATTACTCCTTAGAAGAGTTTGTGCAGCATCAAAAAAACAAGAACACATTAAGCAAAACACAAAGAGATGTTTCATTGTTGAAAAAGTTTTTAGTTTCAAGCAATGAGGAAAATATTGAGGCAAGAGATCTCAATGTGTTAATTGCCAATTTTCTACTTCAAGTTTGAAAGAAAGATGGAGAACAATAATACGCTGAGCCCACATCGCTGAGGTCTGTCTTTTGTAACTTACATAGATTTATTTTTTGCAAGTGCATTTTCTGTTCATTTTTTTTTTTCTTTTTTCCATTGCTATTAAATTTATTTTTGGTTCTACTATTCGTGATTTGCTCTTAGTAATATGCATTTCATTAAGAGAACTATTTCAGTGAAAATTCTCATGATATGTGTAATAAACAGTTCACGTCATAGAAAGTGCTTTGTATGGGGTTCTATTCACTCATTGTTTGTGTCAAAAGCCCTCACTCAGTCGTACCTTGCTCATTCGGGTTTTGACACAAACAACTCCTGAATATAAGCTTGTTCACCACACTTTCTGTGATGTAAACTATATATACCCCTTGCAGCCTTCTTAACACAGAGATTTTGGGGAAAGTATGGCCATTCTCTTTGACCTTCTTTCTTACACTGGTTCTTCGGCTATGTTCACGAACCCGACAAATGATCGAACAGTTGAAAAATTTTGCTATTATAGGTTCTGCTCACACAAAATCACCTTAAACATACAAAAATTTCGACACCTAGCTGTCCCAAGTTCCATATGAACAGAAAAAAAAATTGAATGGTCTCATGCGAACTAATAAAAAATGTCCAGACAAATTTTTCAACCTGTCAAAGAAATTACCCTTATACTCAAATACAGGCTTAAAATGTAAATGTAGTTTATTTTGCATTCTTAGCCTGTATGTAAAACTTTCCCCCATAGTGTCTCTCCACCCGGTAGAGCAAATGGTTGGTAGTATTTCCTCCTAGAAACATTAACAATGTGTCAGCTGCTTTCAAGATCATGATACAAGCAACAAGCTCCATTCATGAGCCTCAGTGGCTTATATGATTTACAATTTTTCTTTCTTTTTTTTTTAGAGCGCATTTTTTCCAGGAGCCTGCCACTGCGTGTGGTGGTCATAAGAGGTAGCTTGTCACTGGACGTTTCATCCAAGCTGCCAAACTCCACTCTAACTTCATCCTCATCCTTTGTAATTATAAATCATACTCCTTGATTGCATCACAATACTGTACAAGACTGTACTCTAAGAAGAATCATAGGGATCTCAAAGGCTCCCAGCCATAAAACCTGGAGTGCCCAGCTCAGTTATTAGTATACTAAAATATCTTGTTGCTTTTTATTTAAGACTTTGCCTCTTTCAAATTTCAAGGCCCCCCTCGATAACAATTAATCTACCTCAGGATCCCCCTCTTTGCAGTGGTTAAAATTTCCAGTCCCCCCATTTTCTCACCCATCCCCGCCCCCCTTCAATAAATAATGAACGGTCCGTAATAAGCGTCTAGACAACCAAAACACGAAAGGTAGAAACATAGACCTTATTTCATTACAGCTTACCACAACTGCAGTAAAGCATTCCTTCCTATACTGGAAATTTCTTGTTCGGCAAGTAAACCTCAAGCAGAGTATTCCGGTGCTTGCGAGGTGGGCAGCAAGTTTCTCCAAATGAAGGTAGTTCATATCTCCGCCGGCGCCATGCGTCAAAACAACGGCACAGCCATTCCATGAAGATTGGCAGGGAAAGTTAAATACGCCATCCAAATCTCGATCTTCGACTGGGATTTTTATGAAAACCTAATTAAAGGGAAAATAGTCCGCATCATTTGTAGTTTCTAAGATGAAATCACTTTCAAAATATAGGTACCTTCTCCGCCATGTTTGTTGTTGCTATGCGCGAAGAAAGACTGGGTACTACTTTATTTTACTTGTTCCCAGATCTGCGCGGTAGCGCGGGAAATGTGAGACTACGAACGAGAGTTCCCTAAATGTAAAAATTGGTTGGACTGCGTTTTCCACCTTTACAATTTCAAAAATTAAAGGGACACCTAAACGCAGGCTTGTCGGATTTAGCAACAGAACGGGGACGTCAGTTGACGACGGCGCCTGCAAATCAAGCTACTGGGTTGACCAATGGCAGAGCAGCAAATTGAGCACCGGAAGTCCCGTCAAGCGCTTCCCGTCCTGTTGCTAAATCAGCTTTTTAGTCGTACAAGGCCTGATTGGTGATGGCCGCCATGGTCGCCGCCATGCCATGCTGATGATCCCATATGAGTTGCGGGACAGGGTGTACTCCTTTTAACCCTTTTTCGTCATTGCACTGTTCATGATTTCCCGTATAGATCTTGTCAAGGTTTTCGACGCTATCTTCGTGCCGTAGGCAAACGTGTGAGAATTACGGTGTGTGTATAAGAATCTAATGTCGGATAATTTCCGTAAAACGGCTGTTCTGAAAAGAATATGACTTGTAAACTAAAGCTACAAAACAAAGGATTGTACTTAAAACATTGTGGGGCGTATCTGTGCTTAATTAGGATTGCTTTAGATTTTCCATATATTTGTCTGCAATTTTTCGCGGGACTTTCTTACAGACAAATGTATAGGAAATTTAAAAAAGTGGTTCTAGGTCTTCTAGGGAAGGTAACGCCCTCACATTTTTTCGGTAGAATTCTTAGGAATGAAGCTTTAGTTTACAATTCATATTTTTTTCAGGACAGGCGTTCTATGGAAATTATTCGACATTAGATTCTCATACAAACACTGTAATTTCTAACGCGTTTGCCTACTGTCAAGATGGCGTCGAAAACCGTAACAAGGCCTATTCTATTCCTCCCGCTTCCCACTCTTTTAGAACTTTCCACCTCCTGCCTCCCGTAGCCCTCCCGCCCCCATTCTCCCCCGGGCTCCCACTCTTCTCCTACCACAAACAAAAGGCGACGGCCAACCAGCCTCTTTCTATTTAGACGTGGTTCGAAAAATCGGGTATTTGAAAACTAGGGATTCCACTGTATTGCTGACTAACCGAATATCCGAAAGGTGGGAGTTCCTTTCCCAAACCCCTCCCCATCCCGACACACATACGCATACAACTGTTTCTGGGATAGACCCTTCCAAGGGTTGTTCAAGTTCTGATGGCATGGGATCCGATCATTTGTCGAAAATCCGTTATTAGTAAACTTACAAAGTTTGAAAGTGATACGTCTAACGCGAGCGAGAAAAAAGGGCTCTTCAAATTAAAGTCGCGAAATTATTGTCCCCGCCATAAAAACGTCAGCAAAATTTTGCGACTTTGCGGTGAACATCTTCGCTCTTTTCCAACAAATCTCCCTAACTTGCGAATTTTACTATTTTTCATTTTTCTCGTTTTAGCAGTGTCAAGGGATTTTTACTAACTGGTCCTTGTAAAAGGTTGAAAAAAAAAAAAAAAACGTGGAAGTGTCCAGATCACGAACAGGTGTTTTCAAATTCCTAAGTTCCAGATCACGAACAGGTGTTTTCCAAATATCATACAAAGTTCAACATCATTTAAAAATGGGTTCAAATAAAAAATTCACGGCCATTAAGAAACCCAGATGGAGACGGTCGCACAACCTTTAAAGGTAAAAAATCAATAACCATTTAGGTTCCGCCAGAGGCTGACGAAAATCAATTTTTTTCTCTGTCTAACAATTATCAATACATCATCAAAAGAACATGTTGTTTAGAGAATATTTTTTTTTCTAACAATTCAATCCTCAAAAGAACATGTTGTGAAATGGGCTCTCCTCGAGTCAAATAGCCCATGAGGCTGAAGGCCGAATGGGATATTGACTCAGAGGTCACGAGGGCGAGAGGAATAATTTTTTTTAGTAAAATCCAACTAGTTGGTCAAAAATATCGAGACAAAACAACTTTCGCTAGCAAAACGCGATTCAGCCGCCATTTTTTTCGTTTTCAAAGCCGGCGCTTTTCGCTGCTAATGGGCTATAACTTATAGCCTAGTAGTAGCTCAACCAATCAGAACGCAGCATTGATAATAGACCACTAGCTGGATTTTACTAAATAAAGTAATCACTTCATGGAAAACGCTTTGATCTTCAAACAAATTCTCTGAACTTATTCATTAAGGAAGCGTCTGCAGATCAGTCTTGAGAATTTGTATTTGGATATTGGGGCTTAAATAGTGTAACATACGCGTATAGGCATATGACCACCAAACTGGACAGCTGTTTCATTCTTACGGATCCTTCCAATTTAAGTATCCCAGGAATTTCTGTCTTTTTTATGCATTCAAACTTTTTTACAACAATATAATATACTATGATAAGTCTGGGTAATGGAATAATTCGTCATACAAGGTTGCTGGGTTACAGACTGATAGGAAAAGGGGTGGGGGGAGGCTGTTAAGGGCGGGCTCTTAACCCTTTAGGTTTCAAGAGTGACCAACATTATTTTTCTCCTAACAACATCAGTAGATCAACAAGAGAAAAGGTTATGAGAAATAATAAATTGGTTACTAAAGGGAGAACATTTTCATCTTAAACCAAATTCTCTCAACTGTTCTTAAAAGAAATGTTTGGAGATCAGTCTGGAGAATTTGTATGTGGATCTTGGGGCTTAAAGGGTTAATTAAACAGTAACACTTTAGAACGCAAGACAAGCTTTAATTTTAAATGCACACTTTGTTATGTATTTCCTTGAATTTTTCAAATTTACAGGTATTCTTACAATCATAACTAAACTCTGATTAGTACCGTCTGCGAAGCAGCGCAGAGATCCTTGTTCTGGACCCCCAACGGACTCAAATTACCGGAAGTTAAACCTGATTGGCGTTTAAAACAAAACAAAGGCCTTTTTTTACTGGCCAATCGTGGCGCGTACTCAAATTTGGGTACACAGCTGGAAGTCCAGAACAAGGATTTCGGCGCTGTTTTGCAGACGGAGTTAACCAGAGTTTAATTTCGTCTGCGCGCAGGCTACACCAAGCCACACAGTCCAAATACCTGCCATAATGTCTTGGTTTAAGCATGTGACAATGTCACAATTTTGTCATACATCAATATTCTTTAATTCTAAAACTGATGATTCAAATTTGTAGTTGATGTTTACAGACCAGCACTACATCAGTCATCATTTAATAATATCAATTAAACAAATTTTCAGACAATTTCTTCTTCTCTTTTAGCAACAGGTAATTTGATGTGCTAAAAGTACATCATGGGCAAGTTGTGTTAGAGTCTTCAGTGTCTAAACAAAAGTCAATATCAACCATACTATTCATGACTACATGTACACGAGCAAAGGAAAACCACTGTTACTCATTACGTTTACATGTAAAACAAACAATAATTATCAGTGTTTTTTACATTTAATAATTAACTGTGGAGAATAGTTCACCAAACAGTGACAAACAAAATACGAGGAACAATAAATTTACAACAACTTTACATGTTACATGTATGAAAGATGACACAAAAGAAGATCCTCAGCTCTTTCAAACTTCATCTTTTCCAGGGGTTCAGATTTAGAGGATGACACGAATAGATGTAAGCAGGAAAACAGCAAGGGTGTGGGATAAGGATGCGTATACAACAGGCTATTTCAAAATGAGAAAGTTTGAATTCTAATTTTTTCAGAGTTGTTTTTGTCTCTGCAGAGCCATCATGTGTCATTCACTTGTCATTCAAGTATCCTTGACCACTCCTGCATAGTTTATGTTCAGTATTTTGCAAGTTCTTTGTCTAACTCATCCAGATCAGCAAGAGCTTGTTCTTCTTCTTGTTGGTTTTGTTTTTGTTCCAGCTCTCTTTGCAATGCTTGCCTGTACTCCTCATGTCTCATGACAACGTGTTCAACCTCTTTCTTGTATAATCTCTTCAACATTGCCTGCCAACAATCCAGCTCAGCATATCGAAACAAGTCCCACTAAAACAGAAATAAGAAAACTTAGGAGATGCTATTCTACTAAAACTTTACTTTTCATTGGGCTACAGTGAACGAGCATAGCCATGCAGATGTTCAGACTTCAGGAACGTCAAAAACACTATCTGCCTAAGACCATACTGGAAACTTTAAAACTCTGCACCTATGATTAGCTCAAAAGCTAAGCTCCTCTGATCACCGTACACTTCTATCCAAGCCATTACTTTTCTTTTTTCCTTATTCTTCTTCTTTATTAGTGTATTCCTGCCTTACTATATATTTTATAAAAGTGTGAATAAAATTGAATTGAATTGAATTGAATTATGAAATCCAGGATCTTTGATTCCTTGTCACCTGTAAGCAAAAGTAAATCACCAGGGGCTATCAGGCAATTCTAGAGCACAAGCGGCCCAGGCATCGACTGCTGTTCTAAGCAGACATCATCTCCCCTAACAAGCTAAGAGGTTGGAGTATGTTACAGTGAGAAACTTACCTTCAGGAAACCATCATAGTCGGGAGACGCTTTGGCATAAACTTGCAGCCATTCTGGAATTTCTGAAGAAAGCAAATAAATCAATTGAAATTAAAGTATTACTGGTAAGCCTTAATAAATATACCACATGATATTTAAGCTGTTCTTTTAATAATGATTCTTTTGCAATACCAAATGGATAATTTATTGTTAAAAAGAAACAAGACAAGTGGGACCTTCTGAAACTATTGTAATTCTAATTTTAATCAAATAATCTGCAAAGGGTATATTCCATCATGGCAGACTATTATGTCAACATTAAAGAGAAAGTGAGAATAACAAGTTAAGATGAAAAAAAATGCCGATGCATCACACCGTACATTGTACACTTCCATTCAGTCAATCTGCAGAATTGCACATGGGAAATGACCACAAATTAAGTTTTCCTTGCATTGGTAAGAAATTACTTTTTTTACAATGTATTCAGCTCCAAGACAATTTGCCAATGGAAGAAAAGGACAAGTTGGGAATTTGTGAAGTAACTCTTTCAGTAACACCAGCCTCCCAATTTAACACCCAGTCACCCCACCCCCTGTACACCCCCACCTCCTCCAAACTGCCTAGAATATACAGTCAGCTCCTGATTGGCTTGACAGGGGATTAATGGTAACCATACCTTCACTGATATAAGGATTAGCAGGGACCAGGGGATTCTGTGCTGGGATGGCTTGAGATTCCTGCCGTATACTCTCTGACCCTCTCATATCCTGCTGATGCTGTTGCTGAATAAACTGTGTTTTGGCTGGATGGTCATACTGAGCCATTTTTGTGTTATGACTGTATAGAAATAACAATCAAATTATGCATTAGAGCAAAACTAATAAAAAACTATTGCTGTCAAACTTCTCTTTTTAGAACATCATAGGGCCTAAGCAAAATGTCGAAATTTTCATGAGATGAACCGAACTCTAATTTGGCTTGACTTAAATTAAGTTAAGAACATCTAAGTTGGGTCAGACATCAAACTTAGGACACATCAAACCAATCAACTGAATCAGATCAAAAAGCAATTTTCATAAATTTTCTCATGAACGCGGCTAAATATACATTACAGGACAAATTTTAGTCTATCAGTTTAGTTCATCGCATGTGAAGATCGACACTTTTCCTCAAGATGAAATTCAGATGTTAATGCATGATCTGAAGCAGACGGATAGATGGTGTCGGATGATCCAAACTCATTCAGATGAACTCAACTGAGCTACACACCGAACTTTCCATTAACCTAATTCACTAAGTTTGGTTTGTCTACCAAAAAGTTCATGTTTGATGTTTGGCCTAGGCTTAATAGACTTAGCTCTAACTGTATGGACACATTCTGTGTCAAGAATAGAGCATTATTTTTGAAACAGATTGAAATATATACTGACACCAAAGTACTTTCTTGCTCTGAGAGTAGAGCTAATAATTTTTTTGTTTTTAACAGAACATTAAAACTCACTTGACATAGTAAACGCCAAAATTCGGAGATTCAATTTTCTCCCAACCGTCTGGCAAACCTGAGACAAAAAATGAAAAATAAGTTGACTGGCTGTTCTTTTAGCTAAATGATAAATTAGACAGTAATAAAAAAAACACAATGAAGACATATGGGAACACAGCTCCATGATCAGCCTCACTACAAGCTAAAATCTCTATCTAGCATCACGCAACTCAAATGGAATGAGTGTAGCCAATTATATCGCTCAAACCAAATTATCTTATCAGCCTACAAGCTGACTCTGACAGCACATGGTCTTTCAACCGAGGACCCCTTTTTAATTTTTGAAGCTCGTGGGTTTGAGAACAGCTGGTTACCCTGAAGACTCAAATGCCAGATGGTGGAAATGAAAATACACTCTATCATAATAAATCTTCTGAGTGTACTGTACATACATTCATCACAAGATATTCTTATTTTAATGTTCTGTACCAGTTTAGGGCAATGTAAAGTTAATGTAGGTTGCATCTGTTGAACAGAGGTAAGGAGAACACTTCCATAATGAGTTCCTCTGTTACAAGGCTGAACTGAAGAGCAGAAGTAGAGTCATTTGAAATATTTTGGTGTAAAATAAGCCAAATTTGGCATATTTGCAATTCCTGCCAGTAATTCTGAAGGGTTTAACATGAAAATGGAAATTCCCAAAGCAAGGGGGTATAAAACTATGGGAGCCATCCATGGTATGGTATGGATATTTTCTGGAATCGCCCATTAGATCCTGGACCACACTCATAAAAACTGTAAGGAGGGAACCTGTAACCCTTAGAAATAAGACTGTACCTGCTTTCTCTAGTGGATGGCACCAATCAGTCGTTTCTGTGTTGTGACTGAAAGAGAATAGAAAATAATATTGCATCAAAAAATACACAAAAAAGCTAAATGACATAAAATAACACATAAAATAAATAAACTCTTGCTGTAAGTAATATAATACCCTATTTACCATTATTACATGCAAGTCTGAAATCAGGAACATTACAATATTATTTCATTAAGAATAACACATGTGGGAAACGATAATGGTCAGTGATTTTGCTTAATAGTTCACTGTATATAATTTAACTGTCAGAATGGGTAACCTCAGCATCTTCAGAAATTACATTTAGCAAGACACAAAATTGAAATAATATAGAATAGAACTGCTACTAAAATCTCAAGCTAATTTTAATTAATACAGTCCTCCAAGTTGCAACCATTTTGGTTGCCATGGTGCCTAAGATTTTGGAGCTGGCGACTTGATTTGTAGAAAAGTCTCCCTAAACCAAAAGAGTTGGTTGACAAAAATAATGGCGACGAAGCAAAAATATTAACTTGGAGGGTTGATATATACTTAAAACTCAGTAGAGCATCAGTTTAAGCTAGTCATGGCTAGATAAGGGACCAGGCACTACTACAATGTACATGTAACTGATCAGTGGTAAAGGTCTGGCACTAGTTTGTTGCTTTCTCATTGCCTTGTTAAATTTTTCTCTCATTACTTTCTTCGAAACAAGAAAATTTGCTTTATCAAACTTATGTTATGAAATAGATGGACTCCTATCTACCTAGAACTTCTCTCTTATGCTAATGAGGAGTTCCCCTTTAAAAAGAGTTAACAAAAATAACAATAATATAAAGGTGGGGACAAGCTTTACTGAGAGAGGTATCCTATGACAGAGAAAGACTCTATAAACATATTACGACAAAAAGAATTCACTTAAAACTTACTCAACATAGTATTTCCGCCCATCTGGAGTCCATGCAACTTCAAAGCCAGGAGGAAGGGAGAGATCTAACTGGTGAAGCTGGCTGCCATTAAAAACTAAATTCTTCTTTTCATCCATGTTGCCAGCAGGAAAAAATCTCTTAGAAAATGAACCTTCTTGTTCCATTCCAGGATAAGAAGCTTGTGGTCTTGACATGAATTGAGCCTGTGATGTAAAGGGTGACTGGTTTCCTCCTGAAATAGGAGGCGAAGGACTGTCCTTATACCTTAACATGTCACTTCTAGTTTCACTGAATAAGTTGTTCGTAGATGTGGCTTGATTTGTGATGAAGCCTAATTGGAGTGATCCAGCCTCAGAAATGAATGGCTCACCATGAGAGGTGTTATAACTAAAAGAGTCTTGTGCACTTGAAAACGGCTTGGAATATCCATAGCCATTATAATATTCTGAAACACTGTTGGGGGCATGCTGCACATAGCGATAACCATTAGTATTTGGAATAAATGACTCACTCACTGCCTTCTTGGGTAAATTTTGATGGAATGCTCCATTAGGTAGTCTACTATCCAGAGAAAATCTATCACTTGAATGCACGTATGAGGGAGGATGTCTAGAATGTTTCTCAAGATTGTAATATGAACTATAATCATTTCCAGTGTTCCCATGTTGGCCATAAAAACTTGCACTGTCGATACTGTCCACAGGCTCTCTGTATGGCGGCGGATGCCGATATTTATGCAATGGGCTTGATATATTTTGTTCTATTTGTTCAGGGTATGGAGGAGGGTGGCGATAACCCATTTTCTGGACTTCTGGAGAAGCATGATGAATAACACAAGACTGGCATGATGATTCTGCATTAAGATGAATTCTTTGAACATTTTCTGACAGGTCATTAACATTACAGTTTCTATTACTGTCATAACTTGTCTGTGACACTTGATCGCTTCTGTCCACTGGTTCAAGACTTACTGACCCAGTATTGTGCACTCTGTTTGGATTGTGTTCCTGAGTAACCATCAATATCCCAGCATTTTCCGTAGCACAGTCTGGTGAATAGGACTCTGAAAAGTCCACTTCTGAAAGTGCATTAATGCAAGGTGTGGAGACGCATCTCTTCAAACGTTCTTGGAAAAAAAAGAAAGAATAAAAAATCAGTGCCAGCAGTAAAAAATTGATTATAAAGACAGACCTCTCAGAAGTAGCCAAATCATTGGGAAAAATAGTAATAATATTAATAATTATCATTGATCTATGCTGCAGTTCATGAAAGGGGTGTAAAAAAGAATGTTTAACTGAAAAGCAATTATGAGAAGCAGAGACCTAAATAACTCTACCCTTTCAGTTAAAAACCAAGCTAAGGCCTTCAAGGCCAAGATGCCAGTATGAGGTCACTCCACCGAGACAAACATGAAATACAATGCTATGTAAGTAATTCGAAGACTGTATAAATCGCTTTCAAAAATTTCAGAGCTGACAGACGTTTATACATGAGTTTCTCGAAGACCGTAACCAGTACACATAGATTAGTTCGTTACCAGTCATAGTTTTTTTGGAATATAACAAATTTCGTTACATATCAGCCTTCTACACAACCTAACATACTTTCTTCTCAATATAATCAACAAGTTCATTAACATTTTCTTGAAACAACAATTTGAAGTATGCTATACACTTGAACTTGAATTGACCATAAGCTTATCTTGTTGCCTCGCGGCAGTTTACTTTGCAACAAAATATACGGTAAACTCTTATATTAAACCTCATGACTGTGGACAAATCACGCGAAACATGAACTCAATAAAGTGGACGATTTACGGTGATCCTGGTAAAATTAACAGCGTCTACTTATCAAAGCCAAAGAAGAAGGCTCGCAAGCAAATATTTCCGGATTAAATTGACATAGCAAGAATCTAGTTGCGCACCTTCCAAAATCTCGGTCGTGTTTTCCCGCTTTCTGTACTTTCCTTGAAGGCATTCCTTCAGCCCTTTTCCTTTCTTCTTCAAGAAGTACTTTGACAAAAAAGGCATTCTCATCCTTACACGTCGAAGTCAATACAAATGCTATGTATAAAATGCATCCATCCAATATATCCCTTCAGAGTTCGTGATATGTCTGAAATATTGCAAACATGCAATAGAGAGAAACCTGGTGACGAATTTAGTACGATTATTCATCGACTAAGAATGTTCGGAATTTTCGAGTAGTTATCGGAAATAATCGTGTTTCCGAAAAATCTCGAAGAATTATCGAGCGATCACTGAAGCTGTTGCTATGGTCACACAAACCTGGTTGCAGATGGCGGTCGAGTAAGTTGAAACCAACAGGCCTAAGAATTTCACTGCTAAGATTCCTATTATAAATCGCAAGATACCATGGAGAATACTAGTGAATCTGTAAGCAATGATTTAGACGGCGATTTTCAAAATGCGAAGGCGTTTCTCCTGAAAACAAGTCTACATTCGAACCTTAATGTGTAAGTACGAATTAAGCTTATAAGTGTGGGTCAACTGTCCTCTAGTTCATTCAGAAGATTGCATTTAGTTAGTAGTTAGTTAGTACTGTAAGGGTGTTGAGGTTCTAAGTTGTGTTCTGTTTATTTTCCTTGTAGTTATGACCATCTCGCAAGTGTTATAAGAAAAGTCTTAGAAGAGAAACCCGTGAATGTAGCAGGCAAGCATGTTTTGGATTTCAACTTTTTAAAAGAGAATGGTCCTGTTTAAATTTCCCATTAAGCTTAATATCAATTTAATTTGTCTTTAAAATGTAGATGCTTTAGAAGATCTTGTACGAGATGAGAAGAGAGCTAAATTCTGCCCTACGTTTGACACTATCCAGGTAAATGCATCAGTGTCCAGTGATTATACATTTGTGTTTCAGCTGTTAAAACAGGCTGTACAGTACAAGAACAAGAAGAGTTTATAATACCATTGTCTGTGGAGAAAGAGAAAATCTGCGGAGAGAATTTGGATGTGACTGCTATTTACACCAGCCCTACCCATCCTATAGGTATTGGCAGGACTCTAACGAATTATTTTGTTTTTCTTCAAGAACAAAGAAGATGAGTCCACAGAAGTATTATTGGCAAGATCCCAGCTAACTCTCTTTGAGGTATACAAACATTTAAAAAACAAAATGCTGATTTTGAGTAGGGTTTATGCTGGGTTTGACCAAAGTTAATGTCATGACATATGACTATAACACTTAATTTAATATTATAAACCAACTTGGATACCCATGCACTGCTGTAGTCTCCTTCGCAGACACTATTAGGGTCACCTGTGACGACTCTTATAACAGCTGTGAAGGAAACTACCACTGCTGATGCAAAGGGCATTTCTAACCCCTTGACTTCTCGGGTTGAGGTGATTTACTATTGACTTTACAGGGCTCAAATTATAACAGCTGGTCAACGGACAGTGTCTGGCCAAGATGACCCAACCCTCCAAGTTAAAATTTTTGTTCAGTGGCTACTTGGTGACCAACTCTTTGGCTTTAGTCGCTAGGGTAAATTTTTAGGCGCCAAATTATTTTAATAAATTAACAAAAGCAGTTAGCAAGTTTAACATAAAATGCTGCACTGTTTATTTTTAAGAAATGGACAACAACTTTAAGTTTAAAACAAGACATGTTTCGATCGTTCAATGATGCACTGTTTATAAATTACTCATTTATTGTGGAAGGCATTATTTACTGATGGTCCGAGAAGGAGGAAGGTTTGCAGATTCATATCCTTGAATCAACACTGAAGCAGAATTGCACAGACAAGAACCATTTCCAGTTGTCTTTAGGGCCTTCAATCCTTCTCTATAATCTTCAATTGGTATATGAGAGCAGAACATAACTCATCCCCTGTTAATGTGTTCAAACTTCCCAGTCGCAACTTGAAAGGCGATCTGTTTTTTCTGATATTTGCTTCGCACTTCTTCTGTGACTTTTGTTGATGACTGACTTGTTTCCCCAACTACCAAATATTCTGGGAGATTTAAGAGATCCTTTTTAATTTCTCTAGACATTGCAAAAGCCTCACTAAGGCAGGAGAGTATAGGAAGATCAACAAGTCTTATAAATCAAATCATTGCTTTATACAGAGATAACATCGCGCACGTGAAAATTTCGCAATGACTTGTACTGGGAAAACAGTTTTTCCCCAATCCATTAACAGGAACCCAAAGAAAAATGTCACATATGATGTAATGAATTTTCTTTTTCCTTTATCATTGCTACAGATGTTGAACAAATAAATTTTTTGCAACAACCATAAACTGTCGGTTTTTGCAATGTGTTAGTTTTGCTTATTATCGCTATCTGCAAAACCGTGATTCAACTCACTGCTCGCCTCTCATGTTATGGTTATTACACAATTTTCTGTGTTGACTTCACAGCAATTTAGCTTTCCCTCTTCATGTTATTAGTCTAGATTGTTTATTGATTCAGGAATATTTAAAATATGTATTCCAGTACAAAAAACCACCAAGCTTGGCCAGACAATTAGTATTCCTAACATATCGAAATCGACACTGTCAACAAGCAAGGCGCTTCGATTGCGTGCTAATTGTCACGTGTCAAAAGGCTTAAAATGTCACGTGCAAGCCTGGGCAACAGACTCAGTGGAAGTGAACGAATGCAGGTCAAGTTTCAAATCAGCTAGCATAAATGTTCTTCATATTTCAGTAGATGTGATTACCGTTTCTGTTTCTTTACAAACGTATTCTTCATGGTCGCCAACTTGGTGACTACTTTCCAAATCAAGTCGCCAGTTCCAAAATTTTAGGCGCCATGGCAACTAAAATGGTTGCAACTTGGAGGGCCGAGTGACCATTCGTCTTGACAGAGTTTCCATTTTGCTGGTCATTTTGACTGGACACAACGACAACAACAACAGTAACAACAACATAACGACAACAAACATTTTCACAACATTACATTTCAAGAGGGCATGCATCTTTTTTCACTCTTTTTTTTTTGCTTGTTAGGCTTGTGCAAGTTATTACAGTCGAACCTTGATTATTCTAACCTTGATTATTCGGATTTATCAATAACTGGACTTTTTCTATCTGGTTTTTTTGCTTTCCAAGAGCAAAAGCAGCGCTCGTACGCGTCGTAACCAATGAAGATTACATTCGAATGAGTTCTGATTGGCTCAGAGTTGCATTGTTGCTTAGTGAAATTTCACGCTCTACTACATTTTATTGGCTTGCTCGGTGTGGTATGCAAAACAAACAGGCTAGCATCACAAACGTTTATTTATGATCATCATGTCTTTGAAGCGCAAGCGATCCGTTTTTTCAATAAAAGATAAACAGTCTATTATAATTGTGGGATTAGGAAAAGGAACCAATTTGTTAGCTGAATATGCCCTCAGTAAGCAGCAGATCTCTGATATCCGTTAAAACAAGGAAAATGATCATGAAGTTTGCCATCATCTTTAGAGACCAGCGAAATACTGAAGCGAAAATTACTGAAAGTTGCACATGATGAACAGCTCAATAAAACCCTGTATGTCTGGTTTATTCAGCAATGAACATCTGGCACTCCAATTCCTGGTCCCCAAAACAATTTGTAAAGTCGTTGTTTCACAATCAATTGTTGTTTTCTCAATTTAAACAGTTTTGTTCTTCATTAATATTCATAATTATTTTCGTTTTATCTGGACCCTCGATTATCCAGACTATTTCGTCTGGTCCCAACGAGTCCAGATAATCGAGGTTCGACTGTATTGTGTTATTTTAACATTTTGGGAGGTTAGAAGAGAGACATGACTGAGCTAAAATTTATGTGGCCAGTCAACACAAACAGCAACAGTCCCAAATTTATTTTGAGCCCAGTTTTAGATGCTGTGGTCAAAAACTTGAGTGTGACCATTCAACGAAACCCTCGGGGCCGCCTCTTCTTCTAATAGTGTGGTATCAGTGTGTATTTGTAATAAAACTATTACGAATTTCCCATAGTAGAACCTTCACTTTAAGTTCTCTAAAATGGGAGTTGAAGGGTTTAATAGCGATAAGCATTTGTCTTGCAACCCTCCAAGTTGTGACCATTTTAGTTGCCACTGGTGCATAAAATTTTGAAGCTGGCGACTTTATTTGTAAAAAAGTCTCCTTAAACCAAAAGAATTGGTTGCCAATTGGTGACCAAGCAAAAACTTTAACTTGGAGGGTTGAGACTTGATTCCTGCATGATTCTCTTCACTTTTCAAGACACACAAGGTCAACCAGTCTCTTAAATCCTTTTCTCCCTGTCCATCATCTATCAATGAGGCCCTCTAAATGACTAATAGGGGAGTTATGTATGTCCCCCAAGTCTGAATTTCAAAACCTGTCATTTCGCATATTGAGGAGGAAGCAATGTCACTGTTGGTATTTTACTATTTTATTTGCTCTTTTGTCTGTCGCTGTGGCAGTTTTTTTTTTATTTTCTGCTGTCCATATATGTCACTGTTTCAAGGCCATATCGCTTGTTGGAATTTTACCCTAAAAAGGCCTCATCAATGAGTTTGTGCAATGTGCTATGCACAGGAATACCACTCAAGTTAGCAATTAAAAAATCTGTGCCTCTCTTTTTGTACTTTCTGTTTCCAGAGAAGACCTGGGGTTCAGGAAATGGAGTCATTGATGCGGGATCCTGAAATGGATGAAGAACAAGAAGTGCCATTACCAGATCTCATGGAACTTGCAAACTACTTTGAACAAGCTGGTGTTGGCATTGGTAGAGAAGAGACTTTTAGAATATTCTTGGCTTTGAAGATTTTAATTGATACACAGCCAATTAGAACTTGTAGATTTTGGGGTAAGGACGATGATAAGAATTTTCTTCATTCAACAAAAAAATTATTAATGAATTATTGTCAGGGATGTCTCTAAGAGCTGGCTGCTGGCTTATTTCACCTGCGATAAAGACCTTATCACTGACTCAAATAATTGCTCTGGAAAACAACAGACATGGGGTTAGCGGGTAATTTTGAAGGTGCAGTTGAGTAGAAAAATGGGTTTGACTAATAAACAAACTGGCTTAGCTTTTCCTTAGCTACATCCCTGATTGTAAAATCCTGATTTAAGATAAGAGACTAAAGAATTTGGCCTTAAAATATTATACTGCCTTTCAGGTAAAATATTTGGTATTCATGCAAATTATATAATTGCCGAAGTGGAGTTTTTTGAAGGAGAAGATCCGGAAGAACAATTAGATGGTGAAAACCAACAGGACAAAGAAGAGGTATAATCTGTTGTTTTTAAATTGTATTCTACCCATTGCAATTTATTATGGGCTTCACATTTTAATAAACATTTTGTTGTCAAGGACATTGAAGCCATTCAAGTTTAATTATAAAATATATTTTGTTCTTTACAGAATGAAGCAAAGATTGACATAATAAAAGAAGGAGATTTTGATGTGGAAGAAGATGATGTCCCTCAGCCAGAGTATAAACCACCAGCACTAATTCCCAATGAAGACAACAGAACAGGTTGTAACAAGAAAACATACTTTGTTTCTAATGAGGGTTAGTATTATTTTTTGTTTTCTTTTTTTTTCTTGAAATTTCTTTGTTTGATCAGGAATGAGTTGTAGTAAGAAGATAAGGCAGGTGTGAAGGGTCAGCAGCAGTGGTGGAAACCAAGAGGGTAACACATGCACAGCAGTAATTAATTATGATAATGATAAAGATAATAATAATAATCACGGAGGGTCGTGGGTTCAAATCCCATCTGGGACTCGGATTTTTTTTCCGAGTCCTCCTCAAATTAATATCATGTTGTCGTTGTTTCATCTTCAATATACTCACTTTGGAGGTTGGTTGGCCGCATCTTGGATATGCTTAAGGTGACAGCGCGATGCTGTTAGTGAGTTCTTCACGTCTTGTGTGCCTATCATTACTTGGCTGTGTAGCCGCGTGATGCGGTTCCAGTCGAGACCCACAAATTGGCCCTTGCTCACCATAGAGTCTCCAGTAGCTCAAGTGGTTAGAGCATCCGACTAGATCACGGAGGGTCGTGGGTTCAAATCCCATCTGGGACTCGGATTTTTTTTCCGAGTCCTCCTCAAATTAATATCATGTTGTCGTTGTTTCATCTTCAATAATAATAAAAATAATAATAACTCTTTATTTTGCACTTGGTTAGCACTTTACAGTAAAACATTAATGAACCTGTGGCCCTCACCTCAGAAATTTTTTGAATTAAGTACAGACCATTAGCAGGTACTACAGAGGAGGCTGCAGGGCTAATCTCCAGGTTGTTATTACGCATGTGTTGCATGTATGTAAACTGCATTTGCTTGGACTTCCACTAAGAATGAATGGAATACACATAACACAATTTGATCATGCATGTTTGGACCTTCTATGCCTTGAATCTGATCATGCGTGTTTTGATCATCTGCCACATAAATCACAGCATTGGAGAAAAAGCGTTTTGACCTTCAATCGTTATTGCCCACACTCTGTAACCTTTGGTTATTACTAGTTAATTATGAAAAAATTTTGTATACCTAAAGAAATCAAATGGAGTAGAAAAATAATAATTGATTATAATAATATTAGTAAATAAAAAATATAAACAAAATACATAAATGAATGAAAATAAAAGTTATAAAAAAGGAAAATTATGTAAGCCAGCACAACTTTCCTTAGGAGAAAGGGTTGCTGTTGAAAAGCCAAAAGATAATAAGTGTTTCTGATAGAAGATTAGAGCTGTGGAGTCAGAAAAGAGAGGGTTAACTAGAGACCAAGAGAAAATGGAATGGGAAGCAGGAGTAAACAAAACATAAGGGCATAGGGAATGAAAGAGAAAAGGATTGGGAACCAAGCTAAGAGTAAGGAAGGTTAAGGAGTGAAGGATGTCAAGGAAGGGACAAGGGAGTAGACACTTAAGGGCCCAGTTGTTCAAAGGCTGATTATATTAGCACTAACTCAGGGTTAAATTTTATTCCGCGTTTCTTTATCCTTTTTTCAAAAGCATGTTCGTGGATATTTCTCTCAGTTCATCTAATTACCAAACTGTGCACAAAAATAATTAAACTGAATTTTCTTTTTAAGGTTTCAAATCTGAATTCAAATTCCACACTAACCCTGGGTTACTGTAACCTAGCTTAATGAACAAGTCTAAGAGTCAAGTGTGTATTAATTACGAGAGGTAATAGGAAGTAGAAGAGAAAGAGATGAAAAGAAGGATGAAGAGAAAGAGGGTGGGAAATTCACAATGTTCATACAGAGTAAGATTTGTTTAATTGTGCCTTAGGCCTTAACCTCTTTTTGCCAGTGAAAATTGCCTTACCTGACTGGTAACTTCCCTTCATACTCTGCAAATAGCTCATCACAAACTATACCGGACAGATAAAATTAGTACAGTTGACTCTCTCTTTATGGACACCTATATGAGATGGACACCTCTGTAAAACCGACACCTAGAAATGGTCCCTCTCTTTCTTTACCCCCTTTATTTGTCTCTCTATAAGACAGACATCTCTCTAACATGGACACTCAGAGTGCCAGGTCCTAAAGGTGTCCATCACCGAGACAGTTGACTGTAGTATTAAGTGTCAGGTTTGGAATATGCTGTTGAGCTAGGGTCCAGAAGTTAAAAATAATCTAATGCCAGTTTTATATTCTGTTACAGCTGGAGGGTCATGGGTCAGACTTCCCCCGGTTACACCTGCACAGATCGTAATATCAAGACAAATCAGAAAATTTTTCACTGGGAATCTGCAAGCACCTGTGAGTGTTGCTAATCATTGCAGTGTAGTTGAGCTTTCTCTACTTGTACTGTAGTTTGTAAAATGCGACATGTTTCTTTTCCTCTTCAAACATTCTTCAGGTTGTCAGTTATCCACCTTTTCCTGGAGATGAGGCTAACTACTTGCGAGCACAGATTGCCAGAATATCAGCCACTACACACATCAGTCCACTTGGATACTACGTGTTTGAAGAGGAAGAAGAAGAGGATGATGAAGGAGGAGGTACTGACAATATATACTATTAGGAAATGTTGTTTGTTGTAATCAGAGCTTTAGTCTACGCTTTTGCTGTAGCTTTAATTCCTGACTAAGCCTGGTGAGCCAGGCCCTAACATTTTCTTGAACCAATGCAGATTATTAAAGATAAGCATGTGAATGACGAAAGCAAGAACTCTACTTCCAAATTTTACCTAAATTTAGCATCGCAGGGCTTGAAAACTTGAATTCCAGTGCCCTTTGTGGAAGCAGCTCTCACATTTCCGTTTCCCTTGGCCACTGCTTGCCCATCTTAATTAACCCTTTAAGTCCCAAGAGTGACCAACATCAATTTTCTCCTAACTGTATCAATATCAATACAGTCATCAAGAGAAAAGGTTAGGAGAATTAACAAAATGATGAAGAAAGGAGAAATGCTTTAATTTTTTATCAGGTTCTCTCAACTAATTCTATAAGGCAGTGTATGGTGGACACTAGTGTGAAGAATTTGTATTTGGATATTGTGGCTTAAAAAGGGTTAATGATTTTGCTGGACAATGACTTGCCTGGACCCTGGCTTGCCCTTTGGGTAACAATTAAGCATTAAAGTTACTTGCCCAGCAAGAAAGTCTTAACTTGTCACAGATTACCAGACAGCTAGGACCTTTTTAAAGCCCTGAGCATGATCCAAAACACACAGTTGCTAAAATGGCATTTTTTTTTCTCCTCCTTTGATCAGCTCGTGATTCATTTGTGGTAAACACAGAGTTTGAAGGTCTGACTCTGAACGAGATGACTGATCCATCATGTGCAAACTGGGTCCATCATGTTCAGTATGTCCTTCCACAGGTATGCATTATTGTCCTGTTAGTCTTCTGCTCATGACTACATGATGCAATTGCAATACCAGTTGTCATATTTTTGTCAGTATTAGTTTCTGAATCCATATCCTTACTTTAGTATGAGAATCTTGAAGTCCAGGGATGTAACTACCCATGCGCCAGTATGCATATGCATACCTGAAAAAAGGTTTCCAATATAAAAAACAAAAGAAATAGAAAAACAAAGAAAAAAAAGTAAACAAAGGATAGAAAAACAGTGTAGTTGTCCATGCTTCTCCCTTAAAACAAAATGCGACGTTAGAGATTTGACTCCCATACTGGGAAATTGAATCGTCACCCATATGTGAAAACCGTTTTGAAAACAGGGTAGAACTAGTATGCATACCTCAGTCTGGAAAATTTCATGCCACACAACTTTGACAAACATATACTGAGATCACCCTTGTCAAACGTTGGGGGAATGTTTACCTTTATGGCCACAAGATCTGCTTACTAAGCTTCAGTTGAGAACACTGTTTTTGAGTGGAGGCCTTATTGTATTTCTGCTAGGGACGCTGCACATGGTTCAACCCACTGCAGAAGAAAGATGAAGAGGAGCTGGAGGAGGAAGAGGAGGATGAAGAAAGAGAAGAACCTGATGAACCCGAGCCAGAGCAGGGACCCCCACTGCTTACACCACTCTCAGAAGATGCAGGTGAGAAGTTTTAACTGCACCTTTGAAATAACGTTATAAAAATCAGCCACTATCTGGCATAGCCAATGCTTTACTAAAATGATAAAAGTCCAGTTTATAGTGCAGTGTTTGCCACCATATATACATTCTGTAAGCCAAGGAAGGACTTTCCTGATCTTTCCTGTTACCACATTTTTGATTGGTCATGGCTTAGATTACTGTGTTGATTCCAGGCCATTTGTTTTAAACCTAAACTCATTGCTTGGTTGAAACCTGTGGCAACAAAAAAACAAAGTGCTTATCTTTGTGCACATTCCCTATTGGACAGCTGGAAATATTAGGCTGATAGCCCTTAAATGTTTCTAAGAAAACCTCTAACACAATGAATACTCAAAGCCTTTTATCATATTTTATCAGAGGTTGATGGCATGCCTCCCTGGACAGCACAGAAATCCTCCACTTTAGTACTTCAGTATTCCTTGTCTGTCATGCACTCAAATTTATGGCCAGGGGCCCATGCATTTGCTGTTGAGAGGTTAGTGTTCACTGGTTTTACAACATTAAATTTATTTCATTGAATTTTATCTTTCACCAAAATGTTGCCAGGGTAACCACAATGGTTTACCATCACTCTAGTCTCCCCCATGAAAGACAGGGTTTGCCTAAAACCTGGAATCCGGAAAGTTTAGTGATTAGGGTTAGGAAACTGAGTGAATCAAGTTTCAGGTCAGTTTGCCCATTATAATGATCAAAATGGAACCTGATTCACTCAGTTTCCTAACCATCATTACTGCTCTTCAGAGTCATTCAGCATTCTGTGTGGGCTTTCCAGATTCCGGGTTTAAGGCAAACCCTGACAGACATACTACACCAGTTAGGTCTTTGTCCACTTCTTTTCTCACACAACAGATGTGAATACAAAATACAAGGCCAACAGCTTCATCATGCAGTTATCCAGACTGAGACAGGGTCTTAAATGATTACAAACAGCATGATCGTGTCAGATTGATGGTCTGACTAGGCTTCAAACCTGCATCCTCCCCCTACCACTACACTATTGCATGGTTCAATTCTACCTGTTACCATCCTGTGCAATAATTTATTTTACAAAGAAAAATGAAGCTTATCACCAGTGGGCAAAACAGTAATAGTACGTAAATGGTGCATTTGAGTATGCATCATATCATACCTTTGAATACAGATTATAATTTTGAGAGGGTATACTTTTCTAACCAGCCTGCTGTACGACAAGTTCTTGAGATTTCCCCTGGAAATAATTTGTCTTGGAGATCTTCTTCTTTGTGGTCCGATGTCATCATGTAAACTCTAACTGAGAAATGACAAACTTCAAAAGAACAACAAGAATTTACTTTTTATTTGCCCTGCTCCCTCCTCACAGGAGAGGGCTCCTTAAAAAAATTCCCCACCCCAGAACAGAAGGACTGGATTTGTCCCACGGGCAGGTGGTAACAGGTAAAGTAAAATTGAACAATGCATAAGCAGACCATTGCTGATAACACAAAGCTAACCAGGCAGCTCTACACCATGTGCTCCAAAGGAGTTCACATTGCTTGCTCCCTGTCTGTGTAATTGCAACTTGACTTCAATGCTCCACTCAACAATTCTTTTTATGTGGTCTTATTTTCCAGGAAATTTGAAAACATTTATGTTGGCTGGGGACAGAAATTTAGTGCAGAGAACTACAGCCCTCCTCCACCTCCCCCACCACAAGAAGAATTCCCCAGTGGACCAGAGATCACAGAAGCTGAAGACCCATCAGTGGAGGAGGAGAAAGCTCTGAAGGCAGCTCAGCAAGAAGCATTAGAAGCAGCAGAGATGGAGGAAGAAGAGGATGATGATGATGAGGATGATTAGTTTTCTTCACTTGAATTTATTTATTTCACATCTCCTTGCTTATGCATCGATTTAAGTGTAAAAAGACAAAACCAAATATATTGTGCTATGCATTTCACACTTCAATCATCTTCTGTTTGTTGAAAGAGAATAATCTTGTGCAAAACATAAATAGAAACAATGTTGTATATATTTTTCTCAAAATATAGAATATATCCTCCAAGAATTCACTGCCATTTGGTCAAACTCTTTGTAAGAATCAAGGGTCTTCTCTGCACAATACCACAAAAAGAGTTTTATTTTACAAAAGAGCTAACAACAGATTTGTTTCTTAAACAACTTTATTCTTCAAAGAAGCAAGACAGAGTTAGCAGTGATGACTTTGGTTTAGAAGTGAACGATTTTTACATGTACTAGATACAATGTATCATACAAAAAAAAACTGTTGTAGATTTAAGAAAGAAAATGCATTAAAAGTGGTGTTTACATGACTGTTCTGTAACTTAGTAGTGTTTTCTGGAGATATAAAACAATACAGCTCCATCAGGCTTTATGAGGTCAATGTCAAACCAGTTAAACAATAAAATACATTCACTCTCCTACAGTCATATACAACGGCAAATCTGGGATCTATGGCATCTACACAGAGATCTACACGTTCAAAAAAATTAATGCATAGGGTGTTCAGAGAATAATTAGTATTCTCAACTTCAAATGCTGATAACAATAAATATGAGTTTACTGCCATTGTAAGTTCCATATGAGGTGTCCATCAGCCAGTTAATGAAGTTTAAATGAGATCACCAACTGAAAAAGAGCACAATAACAAATCATTAGGGTTACTTATCTTGTTTGTGGGTTCAAGTAACACTTACTAATGGCAACATTGTGATTTTTCAAAACAGACTATGAGTCATTTACCAGCAATGCCTACCCTTCAAAGCCGAAGATTGATGGTGTGGGTTTTAGTCTGGGTATAGATAGGAGCTTATATGTACTTTAAAACTCATCTTCACTCTCAAACTCTGACATTAGAACATTTTTTGTATGATCTTGAATGGACTCTTCGTTTTCCCACCAAAGAAAACCCTAATATGGAGAAGGCATTGTTCAATTGGCCAATCATGTTGCAATTCAATGTCAAAGCAAAGTATTGATTTATTTCTAGAAAGTTCTTCAGGCATGAAGTTTTTTCAGCCGACACTTTGTTTAACCAACCAAAAGCCACGTGCGTTTGTATCTTCGACAAGCCAATCAAATCGTTCTATTCCATTTGTTGTTTCTGTCTTGTTCGCGCTTTCATTTCAAGATCATACAAAAATTGCTCTATAAGGACCCTAAGGTTGGAGAGTTTTGAAAACCCTTTAATAGAAAGCACAGATAACTAACCAAGGTAGCTGTGTACATATAAAATTGCTAGATTGAATGGAAAACGTAAAAATGCAGAGCTCTTCTGATGTCTAATCTTTTCACTTGAAAGAACACACATACCGTTCATTGGCATTTCATCAATCTGTGTACTGTAATACTGTTCAATATCACGCAAGATTCTGATGTCGTCTGACTTAACAAAGTTGATGGCAACACCTTTGCGACCAAATCGACCAGATCGGCCAATCCTATAATAGAAATTTCAGATATTGGTCAACCAAAACTGGATGAAAGATGACAAGTTCTATTCTACTGACTTGTACAACAAGGTTAAGGGAGTTTGTGGGATGCAGCTTTTTATAAAATAACTCCACACACTCTGACTGGCTGAGATATCAAGGTGTGTTTGTGTGAGGATTTTTAAACTGTTGTGATATTACCATCTTTTGCTGAGCACATAATAATCACAAAAAAACAATATTTGGAAAAAAGTTTTGCATTTTATACAACTCAACTATTTTGCTTCTTTCTTGGACAGTTGAATTTGAAAAAAATGTAAAATCATGATGTATCAAAGTCTTTTTGCTTAACTTGATTTTTTATATATATTTTATAACATCTTCCTGCAACACATGACATGACTGTGTACAAAACTTTGAGTATAACACAAGAATGTGCAAAGCTGAATTTGAGAGGGCATCACCAATTATAATGACCCAAATTGGGAGAAATGAGGGAATCTATTTTCTCTCAACAAGTAGTCGATAGTAATTGCAATGTTATCTCCATCTCTTCTTACATTAATTGTAGTATTTTTGAGAATTAGTATTATTTCATGAAGGCAGTAGAAACCTTAATTTTTACTTTGTTTGCACAGCCAAACAAACACCAAATTGGGTCATCTATGTCTGTAAAACACACTTTCATCTACATATCTGGAGCCAAAAACCACAGCATCATCTGCCTTAATCAAGTTAAAACACACCTGTGAATGTACAACTCACGGTTGTTAGGCAAGTCGTAGTTGATAACCAGAGAAACCTGTTGAACGTCGATACCTCTGGCCCACACATCTGTTGATATCAGCACCCGACTGCAGAGAAAAAAGAGCAGTTTAAATGATCACTGGTCACCCCACTTGCATAACTAGATAATAATTACTATTATAGTGTTTACTGTGCACCAAGGCAAGCAAAACCAGACTAACAGGTACCAAAAAGCTTACCTCTGTCCAGATCGGAACTCTTTCATAATAGCATCTCTCTCTTTCTGCGGCATGTCACCATGCATAGAGGACACTGTGAAATTTGCTTCTCTCATCTTCTCTGTAAGCCAGTCAACCTAAAAAAAGTAAAAACTATTATCTGTAGAGATTTGTGCCTGTAATATAATATCACTGGAAGGCTTTTGCTGTGACACAATGTCAATGTTTTTAACAAAGAAAAAAATCCCTATTCACTACCACCTCATCATCTTGGTATGCTTTAACACAGACATCTTCTCTCATCACTAATACTCTTAAGTTTCCCACTTTTATGCCACAGGAATAGGTGTTTCTTATTACTCTGCTGTCCACTAGTACTGCTTATAAAGCAGGGATGGCACAGTGATGAGTTCACTTGACTCCTACCAGTGCCACCAGGGTTCAAAAACAAGAATTAACGAGGACACGTGCGCGTTGAATTTATGGCTGGTTTTCTTCTCTGCTCCAAGAGGTTTTTCTCCAGATACTCCTCTGGTTATCCAGTCTGGATAGTATCTCCCAAATGGCAACAATTAGAGAGCTACAGTTTTAACAGTTGTTGGAAATGTCAAGTGTCGCCTCTCTAAATAATGTTAGTTTCACTATGGTTTGGTCTTGTTCAATTTAACATATTTTTTAATGTACTGTAACTAACCTTTCTCTTGGTATTGCAGAATATCACAGCCTGTGTAATTGTCAGTGTGTCATATAAATCACAAAGGGTGTCAAATTTCCATTCTTCTCGCTCAACAGCCACAAAAAACTGCTTGATACCTTCCAGCGTCAATTCATCACTAACAAAAACAAATACAAACATTATAACATGAGGTTGCCTTGTTGTGTAAGTGAAGATATGGAGGGTTGAAACTTTGCTTTGAATTCAAGGGCATTTTACCGTGGTCAATCATGTTACTCAACCTACTTATGAAATGACTGGGTTCAAACCTTTCACAGTTTCACATTACACAAGTAACAAAGTTGTGACTAAAATAATATTAATTTTGCCTCAGTACAATAGAATCTATTTTACACCGGTGCCCTGTGAAAAGAGGTGAGAGAAAAAAAACTTGACCAGTACCGTTTCACAAGAATCCTGATAGGATCTGTCATGAACTTCTGTGTCATTTCCAAGATATCATGTGGAAGGGTCGCACTTAAAAGAACAACCTACATGTAAATAATCAAGATATTATTAAACTCAATAAAATAAAGGGTTAAGAACTATTACAAAATAAGAAAATCTGAGCAATAGCACTGGCACAAGGAAAGTTTATCTTGCTTTTTTTCAGAAAAAAAAACTTGCCTGTGTTGCTGGGGGAAGATATCTGTAAACATCATAAATCTGCTCCTTAAAACCTGAAATGACAAAATAAAAGTACAATTTAACAGATTAGCAAGGATCACATTTGTACCTGCTTCACAAATTGAAATTTTTACCTTTATTTAACATCTCATCTGCTTCATCTAGCACAAGTAATTTGATTGACCGAGTTCTCAAGTTCCGTCTTCTGATCATATCTGTATGAAGCAAATAGAAAAAGGTTAATCCTTAAAACCAAACTTCCTCTCTTAATGTTTATTCTTCTTAAAAATTAGTGGACAGCAGGGCTCAAAGTTCAAATTTGAGTTTGGGAGCACTTGCGCTACCAGATGTAAATGTTTAGGCGCACTGCCGAAATTTTAGGCGCACAGCTGAAAATTTTAGAAGCACCGCTTATAATGTTGGGAGCATCTATTTCAAAAGAAAAAGTAAAAACCTTAACAGTGCCACGTTTATTTGTCATCTTCAGTTTGTTACTTTTATGTCAGTCCTGTGATTGATAAAACACAGCCGATTTGCTACGCAGTAATACCGCTGTGATTTTTAATACTAATTTCTCTCTTTGACAGTACAGTTGTGACCAAAGAAAACTTACACTTGAAAAACAATGCAAAACTGACAACAATGAGTGTGTCGAACGAGAATGAAAATTGATCTTTAATGAATTTGTTAAATGCGCAATGACTTACATGTAACTGGAATACGACTTAAAAAACTTTCTTACCTGGAAAAAAAGGCTCTTAATCCGCACTGTTTTTGTCTTGATTGACATTAAAAACGAACATTCGACATGATCGTCCATTGCGCAAAAAGTACGTGTTTCCTTCGTAGCATATATTTGCAGCTAGTTCGAGTTCGTAAGTATAGTCGGAAGTAGGTCAGTCGCACTGTGCTTTGGGTTTTACGGCGCACAGGTGCGATTACACATGAATTTTTAGGTGCACAACCACAAATCCAGTCGCATATGCAACCAGTTAGTTGCTAACTTTGAGCCCTGGACAGAGCACAAATGATCACACAAGATTGTTAACATATTCTTCCATGGCATGGGACGGCAGCTTGTTAATCAAAGAAGCAAATGGTCGCACACAGTGGTTTCTCTCCCTTCATACAGCATAGCAACCGGCCTGGAGAAATCACTGCTCGCAGGGGAGCAAAGAGCAGAAATCTTACCAAAAACTCTGCCAGGAGTTCCAGACACAACATGTTGTCCATAATCGAGTTTTCTGATGTCCTCTCCAACATTTGTTCCTCCAATACATGCATGACATTGGACACTCATGTAATCACCAAGGGCAAGAATTACCTACAAAAATTCGGATCTTTAGTTGCAGGGTGTAGCCTATAATATTATACCCATGGATATGTTACAGGTCAGAATTAAATTGATGTTAAAATTTTTTAACCCAGGTTGAGTCTATTTTTTTTGTTTCCTAGCCCTATCATTTTTCATGAATCAGGGCTAGGAGACAAAGGATATTGAGAATCAACCTACCAGTAGGTTACCTCAAGTTAAGTTTGACCTCTAACAGATAGATACAGGTGCAGAAGCTATGAGGTAAAGTCGAACCCCACTTTACGGCCACCCACTTAATGTAGACACCTCATTATTACAGACAGTTTTCTCTGTCCCCGGGGAAAGCCCTTACATTTTTTTCAAAATTCAACCCACTTAATAGGAACACCCATTATTGTGGACAACGGAAACTACTTTCTTCCTCAATGAACAGATTCTCATAAAAAGTCAACCTTGCTAACACAGACACCTTATTGTCCACTGTGTACTGTAATAAGCCTTTCTTTTTTGAAGGTTAAAAAAAACCTTCAGTTGACATAATGTCGATATTCCCAGAGCTATAGTACACCAGATACATGTAGGATGAATATTGTGGACGACAATTTTAGACTATTTTGACATCAATCAAGGCGTATTTGCAGAGAAGAGTTTTTGATTATGTAATGTATAATGAGCGACCTTGTCAAGACTTTTGAGTGTTTTCATGTACATAGTCCGTGGAATAACGGCTTAGTGAAGTTTACAGATGTTGAGTTTGAAGATGCTTGTGTCCTGTTTTATTTCTGTAGTGTTTTGATTAACTAAAAGGTGTATTTTTGACTAATATGGACACCCCGTAAATACCGACACGTCCTATAGCACCTGTGTCTGTATTAACAGGGTTTGACTGTAGCAGTATTGAACATTATGCTCTTGTTAATGATTTATACTTATAGGTTTCTGTTTATACCCTTCATTCAACTGTGTACTCTCAAGTCAGATCATGCATTTCAACACCATAGTTCTGTCCCGAAAGATGGTTAAAAATAAATGCAATTCATCATACCTGTAGAGTTACACAATCAAACAGTGTTTTAGCCAGTAACTATAGGAAAATGACCTTCTTGTCTACTCCAGTTAATTCACTGATTCACAAACATTTTGGTCAAATTTCCTATCATCTGCCAGGGCAAATTAACTCATCAAATAACTTTGTGTGTCCATGTCATCCACAAAAAGTCACATAATGAAGTTTCAAGTCATATTCATGCAGCAGACATCAAAGATATGTACCAATACGTGACTGTGTAATGCAATTGAAGAGCTGTTATTTTGCTCATAAAACCAATTATCATTTTTATTACAATCTCATTAATGTCACCATAATGGTTACTTTAACTCTCTAACGTTACAGTGGTGAAACTTCGCACTTCAGTGAGAAACCTCAAGTTCTCAGGGTATGACATAAAGTTCAGTAAACAATACAACACAAATGAATAAGGAAAAGAATAAATGAGGTTTTTTCATACCTTCTGGATTTGCTGAGCAAGTTCACGTGTTGGGGATAAGATCAAAGCTTGGGTTTCTCTTGTCTGACAGTGATTTGATAAAAAAAAGTGTATAAAAAACATTACTTCATTATTACTATTACCTTTTCCCAACCTTCACATGGTCCTTAACTAAAGATCCTTATTCAAAATGCATGTACAATGTTTGGAGACTTTGAATGAAAAAAGAAATTAGGTATTGGACTCTCAACCACTATTGTCTTATTTGACAATGACCTTGCCTCCCATTGCAATCAACGTGTGTATGCCAGCTGCTAGTTTTAGACTACTGGATAAGCATGGTATGACAAATGAACAACCACAAAAATTCAGTCTCCTGCGTGTTATATCATTACTTTTTATTCTTTATAGAATTTTGGCATGAGAATTTTGGGGGGTTAATTTTTGGTCCAGGGATTTTTCTTGGGTTTAGATTTTTTACCCCCATTTGATTATCCCTCTCACTTTACTGTTTACAGTTTAACCCCTCCATTGTTTGGGGGAAACAGTATCTACAGACAATTTTATAGTCTTCACCTTCAATAACTTATGGTCCTAAGGAGTACAGCATACTAAGCTTTTTGACAGAAACCTGGAGGAATCTAGGGTATTTTGGCTACTTTTCTTTGAGTCTGATGATATGCCAGTATCACCCCTGGCATACATGCCAATTCTCCTGGATACGACATCAATCTCCCACTCTGCCGTACGGGACACAAAATCTCCAAGATAAAATTGAGTATTGAGCTTTTCTGAGCTTTAATTTGGAATTAATCCCATCTCCTCCCAAAATTTGAATTTTCTTTGATTGGTTTCTGGGGCATTTTTGCACATATTTCATCACTGACAAAGATCATTTCACCATTACAATCAAAAAGGCAAATTGTGATGGTCTGTACCTCATGTAAGACTTCATATACAGGGGTTTCATAAAGGGCCGGGCACCGGAAAAATTGACCAGCTGTGAATGTGACTTTCCCTGGCTTCTTAACTTCTGAAAGAACTTTTTTTTTATTACAAGGAACAATCAAAGAAAAGTTTTAAGTAAGTTATACAATCGTAACCTTTTCTTGATGAGTCTTCTTGAATGCAAAACATACTTTACCATCAAATTTCCACTTTATCACAAGTGGCATGAAATCCCCTAGTTTGTTATGTGCTAAAAACAAGAATTGCCCCATAATGCATTGCAAAAAGAACTGTACTCCATAAAAGACCATCTGAAATGTGTCAATAAGATTATGAACTAATTTGTGTGGTGGATATTGGTATCAAATCATGATTAAATTGTCTAGAAAAGATATCTTTTTTCAGTAGTTGAAAGACAGTATCTGCAGCTTCAGAATGCAGGAAAACACATCTTTTGCAACTGTAGAATTTCAAAATTTTCCGGGGAAGCATGTCCCGGTCCTCCCTAGGGGAGCAAGGCCCTTTCTATTTCTTTGCCTGGTAGTCAAACCCAGTTGCCCTCCTGTTCAAAACCTTAATGTAACCCCTGCATATAATGTCCTAAGCCATTCCCCTGTGATAAATTAGGGACTGGATCAAATTGTGGTTATCGGGAAGGGGGTGGGTGAATGCAAAAGAGAGTCTCCAGATTTTAGATTTGCAGAGGTTGGTATCTCTGCCCTGGCTAGCTTTTACATGCTACCTCTTCCATGAGAGAGTAGTAATACCACTAAGTTTCAATTTGAGTCCTAGCCACGGTATCAGGTCACTTTGCAAGAAAGTTGATGTGCCCGAAAGTTGATGCGCCTTATAGACTAGGAATAAGCATAAAAAACAGTGACTGCACACGTGATTTTTCCAGTGAATATCTCAAATTATGTCCACTTGAGTTTTAACTATTCTTTCTCAAATATAAATACCTAGATTTTTTAGATCATTGAACCTTTTCATTCATGGCCATAAAATCCAAGCTGAACTAAAATATTAAAATCTTTGCTATTAAACTATGTTCACTGTTGTGTTCATTGCATATGTCACTAAACAAAACGACATTGTGTGGTTCCAGAAAATATCCATACCACCCCCACGGAAGGGATCGGATTTTCCAGGGGGGAGGGGGGGGGCCATTTGCCTAATTTTCCAGTGGGGACAGGGGGGTCACCACAGGGAAATAGTTCCAGAGGGTTCTTGTGGTGTGTAAGAGAGTAACAAAGAAAAAACACAAAAATGTATGTGCGAAGATATAAAACACAACAAAACTTAAAGAGCTCCTAAACCTAAGGATTAATGGACATAGCGAATTTTGTCAGTTCCTTAGCGTGACCTCTCACACAAAAACATTCCTTACGGTTTGCCGTTTTTGAACGGATTTGGTATCCGTTTGAACGGCTTGGGGTATCCGTTCAAAAAAAATTGTCATCTCTTCAAACGGCTTAGGTTATCTGTTTGGGAAAAATTGTCATCCGTTTGAAAAAAATTGTCATTCGTTCGAACGGCTTGGGATATCCATTTGAAAAAATTGCTATCCGTTGGAACGGTTCGAAAAAGAATTTGTGGACTGTTCGAGCAACTTAAGATAAATTTTAACTGAGTTTCCATTGCAAAACCATTTCTTAGCTAGCCACTTGTGTCGAACAATCTGTTATTCTCCAAGTCACATACGTTATGAAGTTTGTTTACAAATGCATCATTACATGAATGGTTACGGATCTCTGCCCCTTTGTAGCCATCTTCGCTTTCAGCAAGTTTTCCGAAAATAATATTTTTTAACTTTTACACCTTTGTAGTTTATGAGCCAGCAGAACGAAACTTCATTTTCCTTGCATGTCGAGAACACAACACACAAAATTTTTTTTTAATTGGATGCATTTCTTCTTCACTTGACTGTTTCTTTATCACAAAGAAGTCCTTTCCAGCACGTTAAACTTTGCATGACAATTTTCTTATCAATGAAATCGGCGATGCGCAATTTTACCGCAAAGTCAAATATGCAAATTTGGTAGAACGAAATTCGATACCCACACTGTCTTATCGCGCGCAGAGGTCCTGATCTCTTTGATTATACTTCTTCAAGTGTTGCCTTCTTCTTGATACAGTGCAAGAAAAGTACAGTTATGTTTCCTACGTGACCTTGCATTTAATTTGCATGTGGCCAAGAACTTTTTCAACAATTTCTTCATGACTTGAGGGCAAAAAGAATTCGCATCTGTTGTAGAATTCAACAGAAAATACATGAAACTCACACAATTTGTCTGTGACTTGAGCGCATAAGGAGTTTGCATAAGGAATTCGCTTATCTGTTATACAATTCAACAGAAAATACATGAAACTCACAAAATTTGTCATCCTAGTGAACAAAACTACTTCTTTGTTCACTTCAGTTAGAGATAGCAATATTTCCAGGGGTGTGTGTGAAAATTTTGGAAATTCTGGCCGGGAGGGGGGTTAAATTTTAGGGGCCAATTTTGGAAAATCCAGAAGGCAGGGGGGGGGGTCATACGGCAAATAGCTTCCATAGGGGTGGTATGGATATTTTCTGGAACCTCACATAGGGCGAATCAACTTGCAGGCGAAACAATCACAATTGAATTCCTAGCCACATGCTATAATGGTGGCTCTACACTGTCAGCATGCGAAATATAATGGTGCTAATCGTACAAACCTGTATGTCAATAGACTGAAGCACACATATGGAGAGAGTAGCTGTTTTTCCTGTACCAGACTGAGCTCTGAAATTCACAATGAAATTCAATAGCTTGCAGTTGATTTATTTCCTTTAATCTATTAATATTTTAAAGCATACAACACCGACTACATAAAGATTTTTTCGTCATTTTCAGGTAACACCAACAAAAAGAAAATTAAAGCTTCTAGCTCTCTCCATTTTGGCCGAAGATAATTTCTCGCAGATACTCACTGTGCAATAACGTCCCTTCCTTTTATGATAGGTTTAATAGCACGCTGTTGAATAGCAGAAGGTTTCTCGAATCCTAGAAAACAAATAAGTTACTAAATACCTGCAGAACAAACGATCAAATACACGACACACTGTGGCGTCACTTCAATTTGTGACTCTTCTTTGCACTCTGACATACCGTAAGCGTATACGCCGCGAAGCAACTCTTCTCGAAGCTTTAACTGGTCGAAAGTTGGCACTACGTCAACCTCTTCTGATGTTTCGAAATCGATCTTGGTTTGATCTTCGTCCTCGTCCGCCACAACCTTTCTTTTGCGAGACGCCATAATTCAACCTTTCACGTTCACTGCGAAGCGTGCCGTGAGGAAGAAGCTTAGTAGCCACGCCTGGAAAAACAGTCCCAGATCTCGCTCGAAATCCATTTTGGTCGATGGTGGAATATGAGAGGGAGGGTAACACGGATAGGGTGTGAAAATCTAACCAAGAAAGAATAGATGAGTCCTTTTCAGCCAGTAGAATCACGTCTGCTTGCGAAGGGAAGGGAGAAAAGGAAATTAAAGCCACAATTTTGGACAACATAGACGGAAAGTTTATCCTTGATTTCAAGGCTGTTCAATTTTATTCTGTACAAGATTGCCTGAAGTCTCCTAGTTTCAGTAAAAGTAATATCAAATCAGTGCATCATTAGCAAAAAACAAATTTGCACCTGCAGCACACTTTTTGTACATTTGTTTACCGTTGTTTTGCACGACTTCAATGCAAGACTAAAACGTGAAACTTCCTAGTTACCCATCATTTTTTATGGGGGAATTGTTGTATGTGCTCCCCCAAAATTTTGTTGCTTGTGTTTTCCTATTCGATTTACTTTTTGCACTGCCGCTCATTTTCACCTTGCTGGCCGCTAGTATTTCTCATTTTCTCACCGCCGCTATGAAATTTTCATGCTTTTCTTCCAACGAAATTCGTCTCCTTTGTTTTTAATCACTCGCTCTAGCTCTTTCTCTGTAATCCACGTGAGTGTAGACATCAAATGATAACGTCGAAAAAGACTCGACTTTGGTGTTGTTTTTCTCTCTGAAAGTCATGGTATGGTGGCCATGCGATTTCCCGCCAAAAACACGTCGAGTTGCCTGTGGAGTCATACCTGTTAATTGAGTTATTATACATTGGTATGTCTGTGGCGCGGACGGACCGACGGACGTACGGTCAAGTGATTACCAGAATTTCTCGACTGGATAGATTACCAAATTTTCTTAGGTATGGGGTTCCGCTCGCGCGCGCTTTGCACGCTCTTCCAGCTCCGCTATGAATTAACGTGATTTTTTCCATATTCTCTAGAGTCTCTAAAGTAAAATGAGACTCATCTTGCCCAGTCCCTGTACGGCGTCTTTTCAGGCCCTCTCGGTCAATGCATTTCGGTGACGAACGGCCCACTTTCTCGGACCACGTGACCCGAA